TGGCTGCCCTCAGACCACTGCTCTGAGGGATCCCAGCCTTCTTTCCTGTTGTTTCAGTGATCAGAGAAGCTCTAAGGTTGTAAAATACCTCCAAGGTCATCTGGTCCAACCATCCCCCTCCCACCAGTATCACCCACTGAACCATTTCCCTAAGCACCACATCCAACAGTTCCTTGACTCTGGCAGCACTGAACCTCAGAGGTATTTCAGGGGGCCCAGTGCAGAGTTTGCCTGGCTAGAGAGGACTTCACGGAGGAGGTTTACAGCAGTGTCTGAGATCTGGACCAGATCAGGAGCACAAACCATGACAGCGCTGTCTGTGCTCCTCTTGGTGGATAAATTCAGGGGGAGAGGTGGGGAGGGATGAATTTTTGGGAGGAGACTTGGTGTAAGTTACTACTGACTTTGAGAGAGACGAACCATGGCTGAAACGGAGAAAATGGAAGACCTGAAGGCTTGTGAAATGGCACTATGGAATCTTTGTGAGGCATTAGCTGCTGGCAGGTATATGTGCAGACCTCCAGACCTCATGTCTTTTTTGAAAGAATTAGACAGAAATAGATAAACTTTCTGCTTTGGTAGTGATGCCTAGAAACATTATGGCCTATTAAGGCTTTTAAAGTTTAAGTAACTTCATTTCAACAGTGCTTATAGAACCCAAGTGAAGTGATTCTCAGGTTTTACTCAGAAGTAAGGTTTTTGTGACACTGCTGAACGCAGCTATTAGTATCACCTTCCACCCTTCCCCATGAAAGAAGCAGCTGGGCAGGTCAGTCAGTACACAGCAGCGGTGCAGTCCGGTCATGGGGAAGAATTTTCTGTCTCTTGTATCGCAGGGTGCTCCTTGTAGGTATATAAACACTTACTCAGAAGTTAGAATTAAAATCTCTCCTGTCATCTCACCACAGCTCAATTAAAACAAGGTTAAACACTTATTTGGTGCCAAATGGTGCTTTTAAGGGAATGGTGCAAAAGTAATTTTGTATTTGAAATGTGACCTGTGCTTGGCTTTCCTAAAGTAAGCAGCTGCAGACACTTAGTGTAAAATAGTTCACACGTTGAATAGGAATGCAAATGAAACCCATGGCTCCACGCTAACCATGCAGCAGACGTGATGCATCCTGTCAGATATTCCTGTTAATGTCCCAGCTGTAAATCAGGATGGGGTGCTCTAGTGGATATGAAGAAGACAGCGAGGCTGAGATAATCATCAGCATGTGATCTTCTTTCCAGGCATGTCAACCCTTTGTACATTTCAGATCGCTAAGTAATTTGTGTCTTAGAACAATTGTAATTAGTTTTAGAGATGTAAGAACACTGGGATTTGTGATTTTTTTTTTTTTTTCCTTTGGAGTGAAAATGGGGTTTCTATTTTTACTAATAAAGAATTTTTGTGACTTTGTCAATCTGCATTTTCCATTAGCTAGAATCTCATTATACATACTACCTTTAGAGCTGAAGTTTTTGGTGAGTTATATTTGTTCAGGGTTGAGGCTGCTTGGGACTTTAAAATCTTAGGGAGCTAAGCACAGGAGGAAAAGAAATCCTTGTGTTACAGTAGCAGTCAAATAAAAGTTTTTGCTGTGAATTATTTGTGCCGATATGTATGGCAAAAATCATCCCCTTCCTTGCACCCAAGTAGTGGTTTTTATCACAACCCTATGATGATGTTCTGATTTATTGCACAGTTCTGCATACACTGGACTAAAGAACATTTTACATTATTTCTTTTTTCTCTAAGTCTTCTAAAATGATCTGCAAATGGGGCAGCATCCCTTCTGCTCCTCTCACCCCAGCTCAGCTGCGTTGTGGCTTACCTTTACCTTGTTCTTGTCTGGGACAGATCAGGGTTTACCAATACTGGGTGGGGTGTCCTCAGTCAAAAGAAGAACAGGTTGTAGGTTACAGTTTTACATCGGATTGGGACAGTTTGCTGCTCCTGATAATGCTCTGTTTTTTGGAAGGTTGGGTGCTGCTTGGAGCGGGTGGAGAGTGCATGAAGAGCATGGATACCAGCAAAACATCAGGACTTAGGTGTAGGCAGGGAGAAGGAAAAGACAAAAAGGTGGAGTAAAGTGTGAGTTGCTCTGTTCAGAGTGGGGAATGTATGTTGACCGTGTACGGTCCTTTCATTTAAATTTTTAAAAATTAAAACAACAACTGGAAATCACTGATGGTGCAAAGAGGAAGAGATGCCTGGTGCCCTGGAAATCATGCAGACAGAGGGAAGGGTGAGCTGAACAAGCACCATGCCATCTGCTAGATAAGCAGTAGAAGAGATTACTTAGTAAGATGCTCCCTCTAAAGGGAAGAGAGATTGTATTAATGAATTGATTCAAAGCAAGGATGTGAGATCAACTCAGGCTTAGAGCAGCGCTTCCAGCTGAGGGTTATTATACTTTATCATCCCAATTCATCTTTATTTTGCTCTGAAGATAAAGATGTATTGTGGCTTGCTGCCCTTCTTAAAATCCTTCAAAGGAGAATGGGAGGATTGGTGTCTGCATAGACATTTGCTAGAAACCTCTAGTGTGAGTAGATAGGGAAAGAAAGCTGCCTCCTGGTCTTCTAATTGTCTTCTTTTTGCACTTCTAATGAGCTGTGCTGAAAGCCTTTTCCTTGCAAAAGGGCATTTAAATGTGCACAGAGCTGTCACACAGGTGTGGCTCTCAGCTGTGCCCAGTGCTGGAAGTTCGAGTTCTCTCTGCAGATGATGGGTTGTAGGTTTGTAGTCCTGGATTTAGTTTGTTTGCTTTGTAAGTAGTGACAACCTCTCAGCAAGAGCAACCAACCTGTCTTGTTGCCTATCATTTCTTGCTTGCAGTGGTTTTGGTGGTGTTATTTGTCATGTTTTCCTTCAAAACCTTTTAAATTTCAGATATATTTTAGAACTTGCTTGAAATTTCTTCGTTTTGAGTTAAAAGAAACAAAAAACATGCACAACCTCGCATCTGTCTCTCCTTACCTTTTTTTCTGTGGCAGCTGTCTCAAACGATCCTGTAAGGTCATCAGCTCAGGCTGTCACATATGACCTTGGGGTGGGGTGAGGAGAGAGCTTTCTTTCAAGCTGTTATGCCAGTCTCTTTTTCCCAGCACTGGCACTTGTAGCAGTAACAGTGTAGCTGAATTTGCTGATTAACACTCTAATTAGCTTATAAATCCTTAAGTAGCATTAGAACTTCAGTGATGAACTGGAGAGCTTCATAACTGCATTGGAGTGAGTTAGTTGTGAAGACAAAGCAAATCTTTGGTGTTGATCCAGTAAATTACCCCACAGAATTATGATTTCTTGCTTTGGGGAAAAAAAAAAAAAAAAAAAAAGAGGGTGGGATGTCAGTAGGTTTGTGTTTCCCTTCCTGTTTCCCCTACATCTTTATCTGATTTTATTTTATGTCACAGGGTGGGGGAAGCTAAGTTGGGTTTGTAGAAGTGTAGTTACTCTTACTCCTTAGCTTTGACATCAGCGTTTACTGCATTGTGTGATTTCTGTACCTAAACACCTTGGCCTTATCTTTTAATATGATAATCTGTTCCTGCTGTGGGATTCAAGGTAACCGTACCCTTGTGATATTGAAGCACGTGATAACTTGTGTAAATACAGGCATACTGAAGGATGGCAGCGCACCCTACCAGCTTTAGAAAATACATTCCAGTACACTCTTGGTGCTTGTGCCTTGATTGCTTTCCTCCTATTAAACATTTCTCCTGTATTCCCAGCTGCATTATATCTGGTGGTGTATTTATGATACTGTTTGTGTTAGCTGATCCAAGGTGGCCAAGAAAAATAACTTTCTTTTTTGTCTGTATCTTTCCTGTTGCAGACTTGTGTTCAGGCCATTTACAACATGATGTTCAATACAGTTTTATTTCCCAAACTGCCACGCTTTATGAATAAGAAACAATCTGTACTTGCAGGGGTCAGCCCGTTGGGCATCAAGGTGGTAATTGGAAGCAAGGAGAAAGAACAGTGCTAGACTGGAAGCATCTGTGCTAGGATGGTGCTGTAGCTGCGTGCGGATGGGAAGAATAAAAAGCTGTTGTCTCATCAGAATAGTTTTATTTTCTGTTTAAATGGAGGAATGAAAGCCTACACAGATTGTCAGGGGAAAAATAACCTCCCACACCTTCTGGTACTAAACTTAACTAGCCTGGACATCACTGAATATTCACTGGACTAGATGGTGGGACAAAAGGGAATCCTCATTTTAATAACCCTGTGGGTGTGCAGTGCCTGCTGTGCTCCTGGGGGAGCCGGGAGGGCTGCTCCCCACCAGCTGCCCTGTTTTGGAAGAACATAGCCATGGTGAGGAGACACCAGTTTGGCACATCGCTTTGTGATTTAAGAACTAACAGCCTTAATAAAAACGAGTTAACTTGCAGTGGCTTCTTGTTTTGTTTCATCTAAAACCTAGCCAATTTCCCTTTGCTCCTTTGCGTCAGCAGTTCGTGCTGTCTGGCTTTAAGACGGTACGTACGGTGCAGAAGCGCTCTCAGACATTTCAGAGAGACTTCAGAATTAATGTGTTTTGATAGCTGCTTTTAATTTTATTCAGGAAAAACAATCTGAGCAGTCTTTTATAAGAGCAGATCAAATACACTAACAGGCTGCTATGTCTGCAACCTTTTTTTGTGATTTTTGGGTAATAATCTGTTGTAACAGGTGGGTAGAGAATGTTTACACAGCAAGAGATTTAGCTGCTTAGTCTTACTTTAAAACACTGAGGTTGAATGATGTAGAGGGAGGCTAAACAAGAAGACTGCTTTCAGAAAGTTACAAATAAACTTATTTATCTACTAAAAATTTTTATTTAACCAAGTCAGTTGCCATATGGTGGCAATGCTGTATAATGTATCCCTTGGGGATAAGAATCAGTCCCTGCCACCACTAACACAAGAGGAGCTTGTGTGGTTGGGATAAATGAGGTTGGCAAATTGTATGTCCTTCTGTTTATTGTAACTAATCAAACCTTTTTCTTAATCAAACTTTTTTTTTTTTGTAGGAATTTGTTTACCAGAAAGCAAAGTGCAAGACTTGAAAAACAAAATGATGTGGGATGGAAGTTGTTTGGAAAAGTACCCATCAGAGAAACCTCACAGAAAGATCCCAAAAAAATGCAGAAGGTATTTGTTTAACTCTACATTAGGATTAGCAGTGAATGTAGAATCCAGCTAAGTTCATGATGTGTGTGTATGACTGTGAAGCCTGTTGGCTCAAGGAATTGCATCTAATTTATAGTAATCTGACAATATAAAAGATGGATTTTGTTAGATTTTTTTTAAATTTCCATGGTAACACAGAGTGCCATTCAAGAGAATATGTTCTACATAGTTTAAAAACTGAGTACCCCACGTAAATCATGCTATTTTGGTATAAAACATTTCATGTGAAGATTCGAAGTATGTTAATGCATATTTGATTATAATCAAACTTGGTAGGTATTTTGAATATCTTTTGGTTTTCCTTACCTTGTTCAAGTTTTCACTGGTTTGTAGCCTTTGTGTCATACATCTGTCTATATATAACATGGTGTTTGGAGAGAAATTGTGTTTTGTTGATAAGCCTTGGCTTATTTGTGCTTAAAATCTAATTAAAATTCATGAACTCAGGGTAGTGTCATTGTGGTCGAGTGCCAGAAAAGTCCCGTTGGAATGCTGGTTTCACCCATTGTTTCCTGGAGTGTTTGCTATTTACAGTTGAAACTTTGTATGTATGGGCTTTACTGAAAACCCAGTTACTGACTAAAAATGGTGCAAAAATGCTGCAGTTCAGGAGAAATGAGTGGAATAAAACTTTCTTTCCTAGCACAGTATAGTTCAGAAGAACACGTGTATTGAAATTGTTTATTGAAGTGATTCCCTGAAGAGAGAAATCTTTAAAAGCTTCAGAAACCCCAAAGAATTTATTTTTTTTGTTATCTTCATTGCTGCTTAACTAGTTGTAGCATTGATTTGTATGTGTACGTGATGCTTGTGTTTGCCAGTGGTAAGTTTTTAGATCAATCTTTTGTCTAATTTTAGACAGATGTGGGGGGAGACGAGATTTAAAGAAAATCTTTTCAGGTTATCCTTCGTGTGTCACAAGCAAATAAAAAAAAATAGTGAAAGCCCTTTTCTCCTTCTTTGCATATTCCTGCTAAGCTACAGTAATGTTTTTGAAAATATAACAACGCGTAAGAGGATTGGTTTGACTGCAGATAATGCAGGCACATAGAGAATCAACCAACCTGCCTTCCCCATGGGGAAGGATCTGCTGAAATCCAGCTATGTGGCCAGTAGTTCATGAGCTGCTCCTTCTGTAAGAAGAGAATATCCTCCTTTTAGCTTTCTTGCTTCATCTGGGATTTGCAGAGTGCATGTAGGTTAATATTGCATGTACTTGGGTGGTTTTTTTTGTATTTCATTGGTATTGGACGCTTCCTGTTCTCACTTGTTCAGACCACTGTGGCAATGAGGAGGTTTACACAGAGACCGTGTAGCTAGAACTTCAAAACCAGCTGCTGTGGATGAAAAGAGTGTGCTTATTTCAATGACCGTGCTGCTTAATTTAGGGTGAAGTGCTCTGGAAATCTGGAAGTCTCATGTGACTGTTGTTAGCTGTGTTTGGGCTTCTAGTTGAAGTGAAGCAATAGCATGTTTTTGAAGGTTTCACTATGATCAACCATTCTGACCTTGTCTACAGACTGTCCTGATGCAATTAGCAGTTCCACAGCATTCACCAGAGGTTTTTGATGACACCTATAAGAGCTGTACTCCGACAATAACCGCAGTACTCTGACACTGAGGTGTCCTCAAGTTTGGGAAGGGTGCCATGTGCCTTTCTCTCCTTCCTGTTCCAGTTCTCACCTCTGTTGGACATTAACAGGGTACTTGAAATACTCATTTATTGAGTAAAAGCCTTCTGTTCTTTGGCCGCTCAGACTTGACTTACTGATTTGTTTAAGGAAAAAAAAAGTAAATATTAATTTTTACTTTTTCATCTTTACTTGAAGACTCATGAGTCTTCCTGCATGTTGTTTGCTCAGTGATGTTACTGTCTAGGTGGTGAAATACTCGTTAACCCACAGATTTGGGGCTCAATCTGGGCAGCTATGGAGGCTATTGAATAGAGTTCCTATTAGCAAAATCTTGGTCTAAGGTAATTCTGAAAGGCAACATAAAGGAAAAGTGATATGTTCTTCATTCTTCACTGTGATTTTCCCATCTCAAAACAAAAAAACAAACCCTCAAGTTGTGTGTAACCCTAAACTATTGAAAGTCCTTTGATTATTTAAGATGCCACAAAATTGCCTGACTGTAGTAGTAACTAGTTATCAATGTACAGTTATCGGTCCTCAAATGTAACGTATCTAGGGAAATCAATCTGATCACACTTGCTTGGTATGAAGCTCTTTGTGTGCAGGACCCAAAGTGACTGAGTCATCGAGCAGCAGTTTCTCAAGTCAGCTTCTTCTGCTTCTGGACAGGCATCAAAGAAACCCTTTGTGCCAGGTCAGCTGGTTGGAGCCCTGTGACTTCTCTGCTATGGTCGTGGTTCCATCCTTTCATACCTTTACTATATGGATGAAATGTGATTTTTCTTCTCCCAGAGTGAGATGGATGAGGTTAACTGCAAAGGTAATCTTCTGAAAAATGGCATGGTCCATTTATGTGTACATTTTTTGAACTTACACATGAAGGGAGCAAGCTTTAAAAACACTCGTATTGTACATTTTTTTCCTGATATTTTCCCCATAATCTCACCTGGGAGTGAAAGAAACTTGCAAGGATTTCCATGAAGCACTTAAACATTGTTGATAGAATTACCAGGTCTCATTGCCTTCTATTTGTAAAATAATTGGTGACAACTCCAGACCCTCAAACTTGCAGTTCCCAAGTTGGATGTTGTTATCCTGCAACTACAGGAGGCTGTACGCCTATGGCTGAGCTGTGAACCACTTGTAAGAAGTAACATTCTTTCTCTATAACCAAGAGAATGGTCAGACAGGTTTTGAGCACACAAAGCTTTTTTCCAGTCCTATAAAAACTCCTCTAACAGCACTCGCTTGTTTAACTAGTGCATGTAAGGCACAGGATCACGCTCCGTTTTGATGATAGGGAAATAAAAATCAGTCCAGCAGTGTTGGTGTTTGCTCTACTTTTGACTGCAGACAATAAACATGAATGTTACTGTTTGGGTAAGGAACCATTCTGGTGGTAGGCTAAGGCTGGCTTCCTTTGCATTCTCACTGAGAAGTGTTGTACGTTTTTTACCCAGGTAAATGCTTTAAAGCTTAAAAACTGCCTGAACAAGTAGTAGCATCTGAGAAGCTGTAAATGCATTTGCAGTGGAAGCTTGCATGATTAATTTTTTGTATCAATTAGCTTCAGGAATCCTGCCTGAGCAGAACTGGTTAAGCCAGTTGCATTTATAATAGATGCGTCAAAAGGCCCGGGAAGTCAGATGACAGTACTTCACTGAGAGCAGTAACCGAAGGCAAATCATCTTCCCAGCTATACAGACCGTAAGGCTGAACTTGGCTTTGTGGCCGTTGCTCGAAAGAAGGAGCACTTCTAAGGGTTGGTGCATACAGCAGATGTAAACACCCTGGGTTTGCAACTTTTTTTTCATTTCTCAAGATGGTTCACTCTCGAACTCTTTTAAAAAATTTGACATAAGGAAAGACTGCATCTTCTTTAAGTATCGTTGTCTCCTATTGTGTTCAGTCTTCAGCTGGTCACTCAAAACCTTGCCTATTAAGACTAATGCACACAGAGGAGTCAGCCCCATTGTAGCTGTATCCTAAGATGCACTGCAGTTGTCTTGCCCAAGGAGGAGCCTGAATTAAATTATTTATTTCTGTAGTGTCTCATCCTTTGTCTCAAAATCCATTTTTGAATCAGTGTGTAACTTTTTTCCCCCTTTAAAATGTGCTGGGTGCATCAATGGAAACTGTTCAATTTAATTTTAACCATATAAATTCCCCTAAGAGCTCAATGGAATTTTGGCATTTTCTTTGAGTACTGATACCACTAAAATCCAGCACATACATGTACAACACGTGAGGCCTTTCAGTTAACAATCTTCACTCATAAATGCAGCTCTAAATATTTCTTGAACTCATTTGATGCCCAGAAACATTGTGTATTCGGATTTCTAATGGTAGCTCCTTAACATTAAAAAGTAACTATAGATATTAACCTATGGATCATCATCTTTCCAAACTTAAAAGAGTTTCTGTTCTGAAAGCTATAGTACTTCTTTTCATGGGGAGGGGAGACTATTTTTCCTCCCATATGTGTAAGGATTCAAATGAATGAATACTGGGGAGTGACTCTTGCTGTGACACCACCAATGATGAAAACTGTGCCTGCCTTAGACGCAGTGGAAAACTACAGTGGTTCATGGATATAAATGTGCGAATAACAAGCTTGTCAGTGCAAGGCTTGAAGAGGAGATTGCAGCTGTGCTGTAGGTACAGCCGCAGCATAAGAGCTTTACAGCCAGGCCTTTCAGCACACTTCATTTGTTTTGCCCTTCCTGCTCCAACAAAGTCATTTGAGTCGGGTTGTTTAGCCACGATGATCACATCATTCCTACCCTACAGATTGGTGTCGGCGCATTCCCACTGCCTCCTACCAAAGTGTTGGTGGGGAATAGTTCTTTTTTGGTACCAGTAATGAAATTTCCCAGCTGGAGACACAACAACTTTCTTTTAAGAGTGATGTACTAAAAGAGAGTAAATCGACATGATTTACCAGCTGTGTTTGCCTTTAATTAGATTGTGACTATAAGTGGGATCAATATTCCTGTCAATCAAAATCAGTTGTACTTAAGAGGCTCACTATGCAGTATATAATAAAGTGGAAATAATCTGGTGAAACAGCTAAATACGGTGCTTGGTGTGTAGGTGATTATATATATGTATTGATTGGACCAATAGTTAAGCTTGTAATAGTACTGGACAAAAAACTCTTATAACTGATTTGGGTCAGGTGTCATTTAAGTCGATCTTGTTTTGCTTTTTTTTTTTTTTTTTTTTTTTGGAAGCTATGGTCCTAACTGATCTTAACTTTCCTGAATCATTTTTTTGGCTTTAATCTATTAGGTGGAAAAGAGTTGCAGAGCAATGGCACCTAGCAGG